CCGGGATCGGGATGCGAACCTCTACATCTCTGAGGAAGCTAGAGCTCTGGCTCGTCGAGAGCATTGTGCGCTGGCACCCACTCTCAGACTGGCGGCGCGCAGCTACAACTGGATTCGACTTCTTTCCCAATCAGCACAGCCGAATCTTCAGCTGCTAGCTGAGGCCGAGATTGAATCCCTGGCGTCACTCACAGAAACCCCACCACTCTCGGCGCACTATGAGTCAGAACGTAGTTCCCTCACCTTGCAGATGATACTGGAAACAGTGCACATCTACACTGAAGAGGAAGTCATGGAGCCTGATGACTTCAAACTGGCGGCCCTGATCACATCCCAGACCCTGCACAACTTGGGCATGGGTCGCCAAACGGTAAGGGACATCATCAACGGCGCGGCCCAGCACCTGCGTTGGATTCTTCCCAGCACAGCAACCAGAGTCCTGAACGGCATGCACTTCTGTCTCTTCCCTTCGGAAATCTCGCCGTGGCCGCGCGAGGACGACACCAATCCATACGCTCGATTACGAGACGAACATGCTCTGGGCATCCTCGATGCAGAAATTCAGATGCTGAAAAGAGCATCCACAATCTACCGGACCATAGTCATGGTAGATCTCATGGTTGCCAGAACCAAAGGAGAGCGAATGCCGGATGAAATTTGCCTCAGTGAACCTTGGGACGTCATGCGTCAGGACCAAGCCTTGGCACTTCTCTCCTATGCCGAGCACTTGACGGCACTCTACGACCTCTTGCCCAATAAAACCTACCAGATGATGAGGGCAGACCTCGCTCTGGGTCGAACCTGGCTGTCGCGACATATCGCCGACACGGAGCGGGCAACACTAGAAGCATTATGGCATAACACTACGGTGCCGGACAGCTTCGCCAAATTCCACCTTGCCCTTCAACTTAAAGGGCAAATAGCGGTCCACCTTCCAGAAGATCCCAGGGCCCAGGAAAGACTATATGCCGTTCTCTCTCCTTTGGAGAATGAAGTACTGGAACAGCCCTTTCCTTGGATTTGAACCTTCACAATGCTCACGCCAGAGAGGCGGATGGTATTCAGACATGCTATACTTACGGCAGCGGGCCTCTCGGCCACAGCGCCAATTCCATCGATCGAGTGAGGTCCCCTCCTGGTCAATTCACTAGACTTACCTCTTCCTAGCAGAAGGACCGATGACACTCACTGCAGAGCGACAAAGGTCAGCCTACGATCCCCACCTGCTTGCGTCCTATTATTACACACCAGTCTACACCAGTTCAGCACTCTCTTAATCATGTCTCAGGTCCTCATGCAGACAACGTCGACACATCATGCAGTGCCAACGCCTCAGCTTCGCTGCTCTGATGCCCTCCAGCACTCAAGGCAACAGTCTGTTGCCTTGATAGATTTCCCCACAGCTTGGCTCAACTCTAAAGCTAATTGACCACGTGAGGTCCCCTCCCGGTCAATCAAACAGCCATGCCGCTACTATCGCGTGAGGTTCTGCTCGAAATTCTCATGGAGTCGCTTCACGTGCCAACCACCGTTCACTTACCGGGCGGAGCACAAGAACAGATAGCCACTTCTGCTTCAGCAGAGACCCACCTTGCCCCAAGGAGGCTCACCTTCACCACAAATGAACTCGCGCCCATGGAGGCAAGAAGCGAGAGAGTGGCATCAAGGCTATGCAGCTTTATATGTCAGCTGGACAGGCACCTCGCCTGGCGCGAGGGCAGACACGTTGATTTGCCCTTTGAAGACTGGCCGCGTACACTAGCAGGCAAGCGCAAGCACATTGATGAGGATCTGCCACCAGTTCCACTCCCCCCACAAATGGGTCATCTCCAGCGCCAGCAAATAATCTACCTCTCCATCATGATCCGCAACTACACAAACGATGGAGAAGGCTCACCGTCTTTCAGAACGTTCGATGCCAACGAAGCATGCAATCTGACTTGGCAATACCTTGTCAGGAGATTCTCGCAGACGGAACTTAGAACCGTTCTACTCCAAACTTTGGAACAGGCCAAAGTCCTACTGCGATCGGAGTTCACCCCGGCGCATCAGCGAAACCTTCTACAAGGGCACTCACAAACGACTGAGGACACCTGGCAAGGCAAGAAGTACTTCCCCCTGGGCCTCAGGCTGCAAGACACTCATCAGCTTGATCTCGAAGCTTATGACTTCAGAACGCTCAAAAGAGCCTCGCTCCAGCTGCGCCTGCTGCAACAACTGCGGACCATCACGGCCTCCACACCAACGTCGGCCAGCGAACAGATTCGAGACAGCTGGGACTTCCTCGAACAAGACCGAGATCTATCCAAGCTTGACTACGAGGAGTATCACACTAAACTGGCCCCCATGATACCGCACTATCAGGAAACACTCCGAGAAATCCTAACAATCTATCGCCTCTGGCTGTCTACCCCACTGACAGAGGAAGACTTCTTGTGGGTGCGGAACCTGGTCGTGAACCAACTCTTACCTCGCACTCTCCACCGCTGCTTCGCTGACAGTCTCTGGCAACAAGTTCGTCAAAGATACGGCGGTGACCAAGGGGATCTCGAGCAGGCACAAGGAGTCATCACTATTCTGTCCCCGCTCCGTGACCAGGTCTTTGAGGACTACAAGAACTTTGCAGTGGCGCTGACTCTGCTCCTCGTTCGACACCGTCGTCGTCTGAAGCAGACGCTAGACGATAAAATTCGGGGATAAAGACTGTCCAACACCATAGCCTTTCCGACGAGTGAGGTCCCCTCCTGTTCACTGCACTATCTTCGAGTTGCGGGTAAAAGAGTGTGGCTCCGATCTTCCTGTACCAGGCCTCACTACGAATGCCTCTCCTCGCAAAGTTTTGCTCTCAGGTTCGCACGAGTGAGGTCCCCTCCTGGCGAACTCAAACTAGCACAAACCCCATGGCAGATCTTCGCCCTGTCCTTAGCCGCGAACAAGCAATGGAGGTGCTCCTTGAGTCTCTTTTCCTTCCGCTGCCGGTATACCCTACAACTCCAGCTGGTGCCGCCACAGCGAGCAACCTGGACCTGGCATCCTCACGCACCTCTGCGGAGGAAGCGATTCAGCACTCGAATCGTCAGATACGGATAGCTTCGCGTGCTTGCAGCTTCATGAAGCTGCTCGCGGAGAAAGTTCACTGGCATATGGGAGAGTTAAGGCTCTACCTTCCCAAAACCGCGCCCCGCAAGATGGCTGCCAAACGGAAACATGAAGAGATGATGCTGACGGAGCCTCGCTCTTTTCCTCCGACGTACCATCAAAGGCGTCAGCTCCTCTTCATCTCTCAGGCGATTCGGGACTACACGAATGACGGTCCTGGCCAGAACTCATTCCAGCTAGAAGATGCGGAGCCCACCACCCAGCGCATCTGGACGTACCTGACGCGCCACTTTGGTCAAGGGGAGGTGCTTTTTATGATAGCCAATGCCCTGTCACATCTCCACCTTCTTATGCGATCCTCAACCCCGCTCCTACTCTCGGGCATTGAGCAGTCACAGCCATCGCATGCTCCGGGACAAGGCTCGGACTACTTCCCTGCCAATCTTCGTCTGCACGATGACAAGCAACTGGACCTTCACTACTTCGACCTGCAGGCGCTAAGGCGAGCCTCAACAGTATACCGGGTGCAGCAGCTGCTCAAAGTCTCTTCTTCCACCGAAGGGGCATCGTCAGTTAAGAACGGATGGCGCTTTCAACATCAGGACCATCACCTAAATGCTTTGTCCTACGACCAACATCTCCTGGCTCTGTTGCCTCATCTTCCAAACTACCAGGACCAAATTCGCGAGGATCTGGTCACGTATAGGCAGTGGCTGCTTAGAGAAATCCATGCAGCGGATGTTTCCTGGGTTCGATCCACGATCATGGACACGGTGATCTCGAGAGGAGAACTCCTGGAGCTCTTCGAGGAAGCCTTGCTCAAGCAGATCAACTCTGCGTTTCGAGCTACTGCTGGCATCCCTAACCCGGAGGATCATTCTCAAGACTTCCAGAACAGCATGGCTCTCCGCTTCTACCAAATCATCAATCCGCTCTATGACGACATCTATGAGGAGTACAAGCCGTACGCAATTGTGTTCAAGATGTTTACCTCCTTTCATCGTAGACAGCTTCAGTCCCTCCTTCGGGCCCGAGAAGCAGCCATTCTGGCGTCCCTACATCGGACCACCAGCCTGGTTCCAGTATGCGAGTGAGGTCGCCTCCAGCAAACTGAACCATAGCATCCCAAAGCTCCTATAGTCCGAATACTGGACTAAATCACGACTTGAGACCTCCGCTCGCATTGCAGAAAAGCCTTCATGCCTCATAACACACAAGTGCCGGCCCGCATAGCCGATGCCCTCAGACCCGGCCTGCCTACCGACTCGCCTGCTGAGGTTGAAGACCAATCTCGCAGAGACTTGTACATTGGCGCAACCCACCTAGCTCGTAGAGGCTCTGACATCGGAATAGCTCAGGTCCCGACAAATAGGTTACCCAATTTTCACCCTCGATGCCCGCCAAGGTGTGGGACATGACCCGCACATGCGTCCGAAATGAAATGAAATGTTGTTGTTGTTGTTGTTGTTGTTGTTGTTGTTGTTGTTGTTGTTGTTGTTGTTGTTGTTGTTGTTGTTGTTGTTGTTGTTGTTGTTGTTGTTGTTGTTGTTGTTGTTGTTGTTGTTGTTGTTGTTGTTGTTGTGTGGTGTTGTTGTGTGTTGTTGTGTGTTGTTGTTTGTTGTTGTTTGTTGTTGTTTGTTGTTGTTTGTTGTTGTTTGTTGTTGTTTGTTGTTGTTTGTTGTTGTTTGTTGTTGTTGTTGTTTGTTGTTGTTGTTGTTGTTGTTGTTGTTGTTGTTGTTGTTGTTGTTGTTGTTGTTGTTGTTGTTGGTGTGGTTGTTGTTGTTGTTGTTGTTGTTGTTGTTGTTGTTGTTGTTGTTGTTGTTGTTGTTGTTGTTGTTGTTGTTGTTGTTGTTGTTGTTGTTGTTGTTGTGACCATTTCCGAAAGACCTGAGTCACGGCAGGTCCCGCAGCATCTCTCGTTCAAGGCTCCTTCCAATGCAAAGGCTTTGGACGAGGCAGTGCATGCAGGCATCAATCTCTCATTCCTGGTTTTCAACCTGAGGAGTTCATGATTTGCCAGGTCGCTCTTGCTCCTGGCAAGCTTGCGCCGGAGGTGGCTGCAGCAATAAGGCAGCCATTGAGCAGATCCCACACGTAGTGTAGGCTGTGCCACGCTTTGCTGCATGGGCCACACATGACATGTACCGCATGTTCAAGTTTGCTTAGGAAGCAGGCAGAGGAGTTGGCCAAAGTCGCCAGCCCCAAGGAGCCCAAAGAGGAATCTGGCGAGACAGCCGAGGACTTCCACTATTGGTTCAGGATTTGAGAAACGGGGCCAGAACTCTCTGCCACAGTGCGTGAAGTGTCTGCCCTGCTAGACTCCTGTGGCTGTTCCATCGTTTCTTCTTCGGGAAGGTTGTTGGGCCCTCAGTGAAACCTCCTCAGCTGAGACATTTTAAATGACTTAAATTGTAGTTGTCTCTTCCACTTCGTCGGGTTCCTCAGGTGCTGTTGTCCTGAAAGACTTGGTGTCCAAGCCAGAGAACAATGGCAAAAGAGCCACTATTGTTCGCACAGACCCCGGTCTTCGTTGACCATCTCCGGGTGAATCATGAGTCTCATGAGTCTTGGCTCAGCTCAGGCTTTCTTGATGACCAGCAGAAGTACCAGGTCACTTGAGTCCACACAAGAACCGCACATGACCTTAAGCAGCCAAGTACCAAGCAGCCTTCAATACGTAAATAGATCATCATAGAGTTCTAGATTCCTAGATGGTCATCTGAATGTTAGTATCCGCAAGAGGCATATCTACAGCCCTCGCCCTTGCCGGTTAGTCCTAGTCCGAATTGTCACCGCAACAATCTTGGCTTGCTTTGGCATCCTTGGGACATGGGAAAACAATCAGACGCTCCAGGTGCTTAAAGCTTCATCTGGGATTTCTTTTGCTTGGGGACGTTTGGAGGTAAGCCTGGAGGGGCGCTTTGTGAAGCTCAAGCCGGAGAACGTTGAGGCTGCGTGCAGCTCTAGCTCCAGTATGAAAATCTTCAAATTGATGCCTCTTACTTAGAATGTGACACATTTCCCAGGTTGTGGAGGATGCGGTCCCAAAACGCATGTGACTCATGGTCTTTCTCCTCTACTGGCACCCCGGCTGGCAGATGCGGAGATTTGCAAATTGCAAAGGACTACCGAAAAGCTTGGAGGAGGAGGAAGATGAGGATGTTGACGACCAGGAGATCGAAGCCAATGCGCAGGCTGCGAGATTAGCAGTTTCACAGTTTTGACTTTCACAATTTGGAGGGCACATGTTCTGCCTTTAGACATGCTCGGGGGGAGCTGGACTGAGTCACCGCACCGCTGGTACTGCAGTCAGGAAAGATAGATCAAGCTGCGATTATGACTATTTGGGAGAGTGCCTGTCGTGTTGGCCGGTACGGGGTCCGACTGCAGTCATTTGGAGTTTCGCGTTGTAGCGGAGCTTGGGCCACTGAGATCCAGACATGCATTTCGAAGGTGAAGTCCCACGGTTTCCGCTACCAACGCAGAAGGGATAGATAGGACAGCGAGAGAAATGGGAAGACTTGATTTTGGCAGTCAGAGACTTGTACGTGTGTGCAAGCCCACCGCTGCCTGAGAGAGCGAGGTAGTTGCCTGTTTTCAGAATCAAGACTTTATTGATTGTTGATCTCTTTGCTACTGCAGAAGGCGAGTGGAGCAGCATGTGTCATGCTCGTGGAGCATGTGACTGGAGTTGTACGGAATGACGGTCCAGCCACAGTGGATACTAGGAAAGTATGGAAGAGGAAAGGGAATGTTCAGGAAAGGCAATGGCAAATGCAAAGGACCGATGGCAAGGGAAAGGAGGAAAACGAAAAAAGAAGAAGGATAAGGAAAGGGAGAAGGAAACGGAGAAGGGACAGGAGAAGGAAAATGAGAAGGACAATGAGAAGGAAAAGGAGAAGGAAGAGGAAAAGGAGCAGCAGGGAGCAGCAGAAGGAAAAGGAGAAGGAGAAGGAAAAGGAAAGGGCAAACGAAAAGGCACTAAAGGAAACATGGAAAAAGGCAATGATGTTTTTGTGGCCGATCTGGCCAGTGCTGTCGTGGAAGGTGATGAAGCAGAAGGAAAAGATCAGGATCAATAGTAGCAGCGGTTACTGCTGACTCTCTTCCGGAGAATGTGCCGGCTGTGAGCACTGTGAACTCGAAGACTGCTCGAGAACTCAAGATTGGAATGCTCGCGAATTTCTTTGTTGGAGCAACCTTGTTTGCAAGGGCGGAAACCTGATCATCGGGGACACGAATAGTTGTTGATGTTCAGAAAATCCTCCCCCCCCCCTCCCCCCCGATGGTTTAAAAACATAGTTGATCGCAATTTTGCAGGCGGTTGCGAACGAAATGGCGAATGTGGGGGTGAAGCCGGCAGACGCTGACAAGTGCCTTGTCAGTGGCAGCCCTCTAATTCGTGGTCGTCCATGCATTTAGCTGGAAGTCCCGCTCTATCAAAGGCAAGAGGATTTCACAGCGTCTGCTGCTGGCATGTTTGGAAGACATGGTATCATGCTTCGCAAAAAGAGTTGGTGTGGGAATGTATGCCAGGACCGTGTGTGTCGATCCTTCCTTGCTGCCCAAAAGAGAGCAGGAGGTAGTCTTGCGCTTGATTCTCGCTGGACGCGTTTTGGATGTCTCTGGCACGTAGGAGGCAGAACAAGAGAGGGGGCGGAGCAGGTCACGCGAGTTTGCGCCCCAGGTTGGCCAGTTGCAGGCAGCTGAAGGAAGAGAGAGAACCTCCTAGGCGATGGCGTCAGGAGAAGCTGGAAGCCATTGCAGCACGGGTCGAAGCCAGCAAAGTGGAGGCCCGTGGACAGCTCACAACGTTTCTGTACGTTGCAAATCACTTTAGATTCTGAGCCAGGGCAAGCGATGTGGATGGGTTGCTTTGCTGCACGTGTGGTGACATGTGTCCACCCGGTTTACGAGAAGGAGATGGCATTGAAACGCTGCCAAGCTTCAGGGAAGGATTTGGATGTGGGCATCAAACTTGTTCACGCGTCCCAGAGTCAGCGACGAATAGGCTCAGACACGCAATTCAGCCAATTCCATTCAGGTTGTCTCTGGACCCCCGCCTGAAGTTGTGACAGAAGCCAAAGCTCAAAAGGTGCTCTTGCACGTGGCCAATGCCTTGCACCTGCAATCGTAGCAAACTCGGAACAGCTCTTCTGGTTGTGCCCGTCGAAAGGAGCCCGAGGAGTCAAGGGAAGACTTGATGAAGTTATCCGTCGGAGCCTTGGGTGGTTGGGTCAGTGGGAGGCTGCGCAGTGTCTTTGAGGAGGGAACACGTCATCTGTCAAGCAGTCAGGGAAGTAATCAGGCCAGACTATGTAACTATATGCAAATTACGCGGTAGAACACTGGAGGATCTCCATCTCCCCTTGCGCCGCCTGCAGTTGCAGCTTAAACATCGCGTGCTGCTTTCAGTTCGTGGCTGTTGACCGCGCAAGTAATGCACCATTCTGACAATTTAGTAAGCAGGGCGATGCAGGGCGGACATGTCTTTGGGATCTGCAAACCACAGCACAGGCGTTGCACTTGGACTTCACACGCAAGCCTTGCGAACTAGTGCCGTATTGTTGTCAACAAATTCAGCCAGTTTGTGCAGCATCGTGTGCTGGCGCTCATCCGACAGGTGTCGAATCTGAAAAAGTTGCTGGTGAAGTTTGGGAAAACAGCGCGTGGTTGCATTGAGAAGAAGGACATGTTGTTTTGATGTTGTTCGCGGTGCACAAGAAGACTCCACCTTCTTCGGCCAGGATTTCGTCGACCGATTGAAGCCGCCAAGATGATGCGCACTCGCTTTCGCAGCGGAAAAGGTATGGGAGTCCGACTTACAGGACCTAGGACCTAGGCAACATTGGATGTTTGTAGCCGAAGAGGCCTCCAGTAAAGTGAGGCGGAGCGGTGAAACCTGTTCACACCACAAGGGCGCACAACAGGTCCCAGTCGATGTTTCCGGACTCCTGCCACGCACTGCCATGCTTTATCAAGCCGTGCCGCGTCGCACATGTCGACACATGCAGCGTCGCTTCCCAGACCTACGTGGTTCGCCACGCTTCGCACCCCATTGTTGCAATCGCACGTGCCCTGGCAATGAAAATCTCATGTGTGGACGTCATGAACCCCTCCAAGGCCGGAGTGGCATCTCACATTTTCGCACTTTTAGACGCCGTATTTTGACGCGATTCTATATATTCACGCGACGTGCATCACGGTGTTCCGTCGAGCGTGTTGTGCGAGCTTTCGGTGTGATAGCTTCGCCACTCGCGCGCATGAGTGTTTAACTGCGGTGCCAGGGGGGTTGTACTGCCCAAGGAGTCGCCAATACTACCAGCAATTTGTCAAATTGGCTATGTCCCCGCAGTTTCTGGGCATTGCGGCACCGCTGCCCCCCTCACAACGGAAGGGCGCACGCAGCAAATGCTACTTAGCATCGTCTGAATCAGCCCTTTGGCCTGACGAGCTGGGTTAGCCGGCTGCGATAGCCCATGGTTGTGCCCATCATCGTCCGAATGGTTTTTGCATCGCACAACCAGCCCGACCCGCGAAACAACAACGGACGGCGCCATCTGTAGACGTGCTGGTTGCGATCAGGTCAGGTCAGCTTGTAAGCCCAAATCGACAATCCCCCGCCGCCTACGCCACCTTCACGTCGCTCTCAGATCTGGCCAAAGCGTAAACTCCAGCCTCTAAAATGCCAATCTTCCATTTGCGTCCAGTCCGTTTGGCCGATCCAACGGCAAACCAACGGCAAAACGAAAATCAATTTATCGTCCCAATGCTGTTGTGAACGGCCTGTGCATCTTGCCCTAACATTGCAGCATAGTTCAGCGTACAGCACGCTCAACCATACGAGTATCAGGCAAGGTCAGCACATGCTGTGCGTGCGCGGAACGCCCAGGTCTGCAAATGAAAATGTTCGCGACTGTGCAGCTGCGGCAGGTGGTCCAGCAGTTGACGTTCCGTGCGCGTGCATTCGTCTGCCCCTGCGCGGATACAGTCTGGATGGCCGATGGGCGACCACGCCTGGTTCGGTGATGGGCGACCACGCCTGGTTCGGTTATCGGCCCGCCAAACATCGTCGCAGAGTTCGGCGATCAACGGTCGTGTCCCGCGCATTGTGGGCGCGGCCTGGGGTGGTCACGACGTACAAGTCGTCCAAAAAGGCGACGAGGCTGTCATGAGGGTGCAAGGCCTCGGCCGGAGCGTCGTGTTGTCCAAGCGCGAACAATGCCGGGGCGAATGCGTCACCTTGCTTGCAACCGTCGGCCTGCCATATGTCGCGGCAGCGCCCTCCCGTACGTGGACGTCTGGCCATGAAAACAATCCGACGAAAGGAAGCAACTCTGGGGCCACCTGGCGCAGCTTCTTCAGGAAGGCTGCGCGGGACATGCAGTCGTAAGCGCTGCGGCCGTTGAGGGATACCACGACGAATGAGCGCAGCCAGGGCATCCGTCCAGGCTCTCGCGCCATGGCCACGGCTCGCGCTACGGTTGCGGGACTTTGACTTTGACTTTGAGACGCAGACTGTCCAAGAGTCTTCGCATGGCACTTTACCGGTGGCCTCTTCATGAGGGGCCGGAACCGGCACGGTGCGGAAGCGATCGGAATGCCGGTCACATGCCTCCGTAGCACTCGAGCAAGGCCTCCGGCACAGGTGCAAGCAAGTACCCATCCATCTGACGTGGACACGCGCACTGCTGGGCAGCCCCGCAAGGGTCTCAGAAAAAACATTCCATCAATCCATCCAATTTGACAATCAACGGTTGAATCATGGCAGCGCCGTTATCAGTGAAGGCACTCAAACACTCAGGCGCCGAAGCCGAAGAAGCCCCAACCACCCAACGAACCCTGAACAACCCCCGTGCATGCCACACATCACATCACATGGAGAGGCTGCACGCGGCGCTGACACGCATGTGATTCAGGATTCAGCGCGCAAGGGAAACGATCGCCCTGGCTGGGCATCATTAGCGGCTGCATGCAGAAAGAGCACAGACGCACGTTCACTGAGTTTGTCAGCGGGCTGTATGAGCACTGACCGTCGGTTATCTTCGGTCACTCTCACAGTCCCTGTGCTGTCGACAAGTGCAGACCTGTAGTGACCTGACTTCGCGCAAAGCGGAGGCCAAGGCTCGGACGCTGAGGTGGGGAAGCTGGGGCAGGGCGGCCCGCAAACTGCACGCCCCACGCTTGTCGGTTTAACTGGGCTGCCTTGGTAAGAAAGCGGTTGATTCTCGTGGAACTTGCATCGTGTCACGCCCGGCTCGAACTTGCGGCTCGCCGACCCCCCACACAGGCCAGCGAATAGGCGGCCTCCCGCCAGAGCCCGCCCAGCCGTGCCGTGCGACGGGTTGTCGATGCAGTCGGACGCCGATGCCGCCGAAACATTCCGACACGTTCATTGCAACATGCTCGGCGTCCGCGCCGGTGACCCCGTGTTGCGTATGCTTGAATGCCCTTGCTCCACTGCTCCCACATGGCCGGGACGTTTCTTGCCGCAGCCATCCGCAGCCGTTCCCAACGCGTGCGCGGCATCAGCTGCATCTTGAGTGCCTCGCTCCGTTCCGTGTGCAGGCGTCACGCCCATCTGACTTGCTGTGCACACCCCCGTGCCACCACGGTCGCTGCCCCGCGTGCGAGCCAAGACGATGGTGATGTTGCATGCGCTACAGGTTTCTGTCCGGAACAGTGCGCAAGCCCGCGATGCGGCTGTTGCAACACACGAGCAGCGGGGTCCCGCGACCCTGTGCGGTTTGCTCGTTGTTGCCACAGGGATTGGTCGCAACACTGTTGCAACCTGCAAAGCGAGGACTACCTCGAGCTGTTGGCGCATGCTCGCGCTACGCGCCCCTTCCGGTACGCGCTCCAGGGGCTGGGTCTGACGCTTTGGCTGGCCAAGTGCGCGCCGTGCTGGAGCTCCACCCAGACGGCACGCTTGTGTCCCTCGACGGCCGCAGCGCGTATGACACCATCTTGCGGGCGTCGTTCCTCACCGCGCTTCGCGACGTCGCGCCGGAACTCTTGCCCTTCGTGCGGTTGTTTTACGGGCAGCCCTCCGCCTGTTGCTGGTGGGATTGCCACGGTCGCTGCCGCGAGATCAGCCAGGGGGAGGGATGTGAGCAGGGGGATCCCCTAGCCCCTGCCCTGTCTTCCCTTGGCCACGGCGGTCTCCAGGCGGCCGCATCCCATTTGCAGTCGCACGAACGCCTGCTGGCCTTCCTCGGCGGCTTATATATCCTTACACACGACCCGGAGCGTGCTCGCCCCGCACGCGATGCTGTCGTGGGAGCCGTCGAGACCCATTGCGGCATAGCATCCAACGAGGGCAAAACCAGGGTCTTCCGCTTCGCCGCCGGGGGGCGTCGCTGACCTGGGGGAGGAGTTGCGAGGGGACCAGCCCCAGCTGCGCGCGGCGAATCTGCACAAACAAGTCTTGCGCCAAGCGTTTGGTGCAGTTCTTGTAGACAGAAGTTAGTCGAGCACCACGAGCAGCGCCTTCAACAGCATGGGGGACGCATGATGCAATAATTCTGCAAACAGGTCCGAACTCGTCAGATGCTTTCCCGTGCTTCAAACGACGAACTGCTGCGGCAAGTTCCTCTGAACGAAATGGTTGGGGCTGGCGCGCGATGCTTGGCCCAAGCTGAGGCTGCTCGGGCGCCACTGCGTACAGAAGGCTGGGAAGCGTGCCCCCACTGGCATGAGTTGACTGGAGGCATTCTGGGGCCCCCTAACCCGGACGTAGGCCTCGGTGACTGGCCGTATGACTGCAGTTTTTTTGGGACCAATCTCGGCCGCAGTCAGCACCTGGCGTGCACGCGAGACCTCACCTTTGCGAACCTTAGCACAGGCCAATTCGCGTTTGCGCTCGACCACTTCCTCCGGCGAGAGGAGTGTTTCTTGCCCGCCGGAGGGGGTATGGTGCCGGGCTGATTGGAGCAAGGACTGCCATGCTCCGCGCTGGAAAGCCTCGGCTCGGCCCAGCAGCTCCGCCCGCCCCTGCGCGCCTCGCTGCTTCGGGTGCGCGAGCAGCATGCGCGGCGCGAGCAGAGATCGGGGACGACGCGCACTGT